TTGGAAGAGAGGCTGGAAAGAGGGAAAGAGCAAGATTAGAAATATAGGAGGGGGGAGGCTCGGAAAAAGAGGGACGACAAGTTGGTGTGCGTGTATATATGCATCCTGATATGCGCTTGTGCAGTTACGAGCAACGGAGATGGGAAACGCGTGAGAAACGGAGAGAGGGAAACGACAAACGGCGCTGTACTCCGATAACATTCGCGTTGGGACCGCGAGGCGCACTAAGGGCGTGGGCAATCCGCGAGGAAGCAAGCATGCGAGCGAGCGAGCGAGCGAGCGGGACCAGTGCGAACGACGGCCGACTACATTGATTTTGATTTTCGAAGGCGCGCGCATTTCGTACTCTCTGGATCTGCCCATTCATGCCGCTCCCGTCTGCCTAGCTGCCGAGGACATTGGTCCTGTCCTCGTGCGAAAAGGGGAACATTTCGGTGCACCGGCGGGTGCAGCTTTAGGATTTTAAAGGCGTTTCAACTTGTTTACACGAACGCGAGCGCAACTGCGTTCAAAATTTGATTTATTAGTCAAATATATAATGTGATGTTAGCATTCAAACAATGAAAAATGATCATCACTTTTTATTATGTATAAAAAAATGTCCGTTCTTTTCATGAGAAGACTGATTACTTTACCAACTCTTTTTCAGTTCAAGAGATATACGCAGAGTTTACATCAATTGCAAAATGTTTACTTGATAATTGACTTGGAAGTTACATCGTTATGATTTAAAGGAATAAAGGCTTGATACATCGGTCATTCTCATACGGAAAGAACAGATTGAAATCTCATTGATCTTTATCTCATGATTTATTAGACAGGAACATCTAATAGATAGAGACATACAAGTCACTTGTAACATCGCGCGGCAATGTAACGAGCGCGCAACAATATTAATTTATAGTTTTACACAAGGCAGTACCAAATATACGAAGAGAGAACAGAGTAAACCTGTATAGTATACGCTTCCTTCCCACCGCACCATAGACTTCATCTATGCTCCCGCAGAAGTCAAGCGCTCGCGCGACTGCGTATAAATCCACGCAATCTGTACGATTGTTCTACTTAGCAATAAATAAATATCCATTAGAGTGAATTTAGATCACATGAAGTATCCGAAGCCGAAGGTTCGTTTTATAGCATCCCAGTAATACCTGTCCCAATTCTCCTTCGTAGAGAGCTCCTCGCTGAAAATCACGTTTCCGCATGACGATTTTACTTGCCAATAATACCGTTAAATTTTAACAGAAAGTCATTGTTCTCGAGTTTACCTCACTGGGACACCGCTCTGCGTTAAATTGACCTCAGTATGATCGTTCTTTTCACAGATATCGATCATAACATCGCTGAAATGTCCGGACGGCCACTGTTTACAACGCCATTTTTGAATAATCTTCGTTGGAGTGATCTCTATAAATTCGCCGTGAATATTACCACCGAATAGCTCGAATTGACCATTTTTCTTCGGCTCTAGCTTTACCGGGTTCTTCGTAAATGCTTGTACCATCTGTGAAAATTAAAAATTCTGTTATAAGTTGGCTAGTGGCTTAGTTTACATTAATAACGTCTATATTGCAATAATAATTCAGTAAAATTATTACCTCGATCGAAGAGAGGACGTTGTAAAATTCATCCGCTCTACATTGAAATTTTACATTTTGTTTAATCGTAGTGGTTGAGATTTTACAGTTTGCTGTTTTATTGTTCGTTGGTGTCACTGCAGCATTCATTTGCATCTTGAAAATAAATACATTATTAATTATTTTACTACTTTATATTATATAAATATATTATATATACCTTAATATTAAAACCAGATGTTATATTTGAAATATTTTCCTTTTCTTTATCGTTATCTTTTTTAGGAAGTATCATTCCTTTCGTAAACTCTGCAAATAAAAAAAGATGGATTACAAATGCTATATATATTTTTTTTAATATGAGCAATTTACATCACAAGTTAGCAAATTAACTTACCTTCTTTTAAAGAAGATATATATTTCTTTAATTTTTCTCTTATTGCATCTTTACCCTTAGTATGTAAGAATTGTTTAACTTTCTCCCCTTCATCTGTACTATCTTTTAATGTAACTTCAATCTACAAATTACAAAATGTATCTATTTAAATTCTTGCATAGCAATTTAGTAGTATACTAAATATCAAAGAAAAATCAAGTTACTAATTGAAAAACCAACATAGAAATGAAACAAATAGTAGTTTGAACCAGATTGCTTAATTTAATAATTATATAATTCAATTAAAAATACTTACATCTACTTCACTAATATCATTTTCTTCAGAGAGGTTAGGAATATTAATTTTACCCTCAATATCTTTACTGGAGTTTCCATCTAATATCCATTTAAGAACAATATTCCATTCATAAAAGAAAATAAGTTTCCCTTTTCTATTATTTGCTACCGCCTCACCTTCACACTTTTCCATTTCTGTTATTTTACATAATACTACAAATTGAAATAAAATTTATGAATAAGATTTAAAAATATTGTAATTTCAGGACATAGTACAGTGTTTCACTTTAATTGCCCCATACAAATATCTTGAAAAATACGTAAGATATGATAAAATGTTTTAGATGAAAGCAGAACGGTTTCAAGAAAAACATATTTTGATCACGTTGCTTTTTTTTAGGTGGAAGCGCTAAAAACATATGAAGATTACCTTTACTTTTTTATATGAAATTATATAATTATTTTACATAATATTATTCCACTAATTTTTCTGCATACAAAAGTATTAAAATAGATACCAAAAAGTAAGTAACGAGATATTTTATACTGTATTCTGGCACATATTAACGTTAAATATCTTTATTAATATCTATTAATATCTATTGATTCTTTGATAATTGTGCTTTAATACTTTTGTGAACAGAATACTGAAATTGATCAATTGCTCATTTAAAAAAATTATCCATTCTCCAGTTTTTTTTTTCTTCATTTATTTGATATCCCTACCTTAATGCTTTTATGTATAGAATCAGAGGAATCATCCCAGCAATCACGAAGTTACATGTAACATACCTGTTAGTTGTAATTTCTCACTCAACAATATAAATGTAATATAACACATATGTTATAACGATTGTATTCTTGAGTGGGAAATTACAATTAACAGGTACGTCACATGTAACTTTGTGTTTGGTGGGATATTAACTAAAAAAAAATCAGTAACATAACCAAAAACGTATCCCTTGAAATTGTTCTATCTGAAATAATTTTTCATATCACATTTTTCAAGATATTTGCCTGCAGCAATTAAAGAGACACTCTATACATTTTTTTTCCAAATTTCCAATTTATAAATGTATGTTACCAACCTCCTTCTCCCTCAATTTTGAAATTTATAAAAAGTTCTTTCAACTTGTCTTGTGACCATGCACAGGCATTCTTTTCCGTCCTACAGAACAATTTTAATACATTAAAAAGTGTAAAGAAAAAATCAGCACTTTGAGAAACAATCAAATGCTGATATACATTATTAAGATCGAATAGTCGACTTATACCCAATTTCTTCACTTCCGGATAAGTTGCGGATAACCTTACCCAGGAGATATCTTTTGGATAAAGTTATCTAGAGGTAAAGAAATTGGGCATTAAAGATATCCCAACTAGCATGATTATGTGGAGCAACATACCAATGCCAGTTATTAACATTGGTTGCATCAGGTCTCTCTTCCACAATCCAACGTGGGTCGCCTTCGCCCCATTTTGCCATGCTTCCAAGTGGTTGTCAGGGATAACAATAACGTTCCAAGTCAAGCTCACTGGAGCTCGAGGCAATTTCCAATTCGCAGAACCGTTGGAGGTAAATCGAGCCCGTTGAGCTAACCTTCTAAAAAACTTGGTTTTCCAGAACAGCAATTGGAACTCGCCTGTGTAACATAACCTATGTTTTAAACGGTAACGAGACGTTCATCAGCGTTGATGGGCGTCCCGTCAATGAATGAGATCCATTGTGATTTTTTCGGCATACACGCGTTACTTACTTACGAATCGTCCTACGAACTGCGGTTAGCAAGCGTTCCGAGTTTAATGTCGGGTCGCGTTTTTCGTAACGGCTCGTTCATAAAATGCAAGTGTTCCGTTTGCGCTTATGAGGTGTTTACTTCGCGCGGCGGTTTATCGTGGGACGACGATAAAACCCGCTGTCAGAGTCAACAATGCCGACTAATAATACTAATTCGCTCACAAATCGCCAGTCTAGACTGCCGTGAAACGAATCCGATTATCCGACGCTGACCGAATTGGCGACATTGGCATGCAAGCCGTGGAACATGCTCAAGCATTCTGGAAACTTCGACCAGTTGTACCAACGTTATTTTGGGTGCGTTCAGTACAACGCAACAGTTTAGTTAGATTTTCATCTGACGCTACGAGCTACGACGCTCATTTTCAGCGTCAAAACATGCAAGCTTCGGATTGGCTGTCGCAACAACTTGCGTCTAATGTAGAATGGGTTTTATGCAAAAGCGTGTGCTGCGGCCTTTACGCTACGACGCTCATTTTCAGCGTGAAAACAGGTCATATGATCAAAATTGACGCTTGATCGCTTGACGCTTGATCGCTTGACGTCAATTTTGATCGCGTGACCTGTTTTGACGCTGAAAATGAGCGTCGTAGCGTAAAGGCCGCAGCACACACTTTTGCATAAAGCCCATTCTTCTACATTAGACGCAAGTTTGTTGCGACAGCCAATCTGCAGTTTGCATTTTGAAATCAACGCTTCACATTGGCTCAGTTCGCGATTACTAGGCCGCCGTTCCATGAAGCGGAATTTACAGCGAACCGGAACAGCGCGACAAATCACAATCGCAGAAAAGAATGCAGAGTTGTGATTGGTCGCGCTGTTCCGTTCTGCTATAAACTTCCGCTCCATCTTACGGCGACCTTATGTTGGATTCACACTGCATCCGATTTCTAATTGGTCCATCAAATGCTTCAAAGCATTTGTAGCGAGACTTTGACGACAGCCTATTGCTGGATTCACATTGTATCCGATGTGCGTCGTATGAAGCTCTGCAACCAATCAGAAAACAGGATTCCGATGATACGAACCAAAATCGATCGGAATCCTGTTTTTTAATTGGTTGCAAAGCGCCGTAAGACGCACGTCGGATACAATGTGAATCCAGCAATAGGCTGTCGTCAAAGTCTCATGTATCCGATGTGCGTCGTATGAAGCTCTGCAACCAATCAGAAAACAGGATTCCGATGATACGAAGCAAAATCGATCGGAATCCTGTTTTTTAATTGGTTGCAAAGCGCCGTAAGACGCACATCGGATACAATGTGAATCCAGCAATAGGCTGTCGTCAAAGTCTCGCTACAAATGCTTTGAAGCATTTGATGGACCAATTAGAAATCGGATGCAGTGTGAATCCAACATAAGGTCGCCGTAAGATGGAGCGGAACGGAACAGCGCGACCAATCACAACTCCGCATTCTTTTCTGCGATTGTAATTTGTCGCGCTGTTCCGGTTCGCTGTAAATTCCGCTTCATGGAACGGAGGCCTAATAATCGCGAACTGAGCCAATGTGAAGCGTTGATTTCAAAATGCATTTGATGGACCAATTAGAAGAAAGAATTTACAAACTGACTAATTAAAAAACACTTCAAAGCGTTTGTAGCATCGCTTTGACCGTACCCCTAGATAACTTATAATTAAGAATGCACTAATTTATCGACTAGATTCTACATTCTTCTTTATATTATCATTATTTCGATGCCTAAGGACGATGTTCTGTTTTTAAGAACCAATTAGTTTTCTTTTTTTTTTTTAAATTAAAACACACAATTATTTTTGGTTAAAGCGAATCTTAAGCGCTTAAATATTTTAGAGTGATTTTGCATACATATTTAATTCTACAAATCGCGCGCCGAAATCTTTTTCAGTCTTGAAATGTAATCATGAACACGAAGTAGAAAATAGTATAATAACATCATATATAGTAATTTAATAATTTTGATGCTAATGCTTTCTTTTAAGTAACGATTATCTTTAACAAAGAATATTTTCTTGATAAATAATCTTATAAAATATATACTTATTACAAATTTTAGAAAAACATTGATACTTAAAACAAGACTATAACATGTTCTTTTGATGAATATTATAAAATTGACCATAGAAATGGCTTTATATAATAAATAAATTAAATATGTTTTAATTTAATAATCTTAATTGAAATGTATAGAATTTAGAAAACGTATTGAATTCAGAAAATGTATAGAATTTTAAATAAATTTGATGCTTGATAGATTTGCGGCTATATGAACTTCTGAAATATTTAAATCAAATAATTGTTATTTGCGTGTACAATATGTATGTTGTGTGTAAATTGCCTGTATGAGTCTCCATGATTGAATATCCCGTATGTAATATTCTAATAACGAGAAAAACGTAGAACAAATTTTAATCAAAATAATATTGTAGTTCTCTTCAAAAATCAATTAAATACACATACATATAAATTTATAAATGAACTATATTTGATTTATTTTTGGAGCCACAAAGTTATTTTAATTTTATTTTATGTGGGATATTTTCAATTCCCAGTCTCTGCGCATCCAGAGTTTCAATCCAGATTGGAACTTGGATTGGCTTTTTATATAAATAATAATAATAATAATGCTATAAAATCTATTGAGGTTTAGAATCGCTTAATTGCATCGCGGCTGCTTGCAGCGAAACGTACCGATGTGAACCTGGCGCTCAACTTTATCAAAAATAAAAATTAATACCGTAGCGCGTTTGTACTTTGTATGTACTCATTTGTATCTCCCTTACTTTCGTTTGTACCTCAAAGGATTCGGAGATACAGCGATTTCAAAATTTCGGAAATGCGCCAAGAGGGGAAGTCAGCATCATTTTTAAAGATATCGAAATGGGGCCAACGGCATTCGAAAGAGAATCGTTTGTACCCGTTTGTACCTCTCTTACTTTCGGTTGTACCTCAAAGGGTTCGGAGATACAACGCTTTTCAATTTTTGCTCAACCCCTATATAGCGAACTTTGCCAATTTTAAAGATATCGAGATGGGACAAACGGCATTCGAAAGAGAATCGTTTGTACCCGTTTGTACCTCTCTTACTTTCGGTTGTACCTCAAAGGGTTCGGAGATACAACGCTTTTCAATTTTTGCTCAACCCCTATATAGCGAACTTTGCCAATTTTAAAGATATCGAGATGTGACCAATGGCATTCGAAAGAGAATCGTTTGTACCCGTTTGTACCTCTCTTACTTTCGGTTGTACCTTAAAGGGTTCGGAGATATAGCGCTTTTCAATTTTTGCGCAACCCCTATATAGCGAACTTTGCCAATTTTAAAGATATCGAGATGGGACCAACGGCTTACGAAAGAGAATCGTTTGTACCCGTTTGTACCTCTCTTACTTTCGGTTGTACCTCAAAGGGTTCGGAAATACAGCGCTTTTCAATTTTTGCGCAACCCCTATATAGCGAACTTTCCCAATTTTAAAGATATCGAGATGGGACCAACGGCATTCGAAAGAGAATCGTTTGTACCCGTTTGTACCTCTCTTACTTTCATGTTCGGAGATACAACGCTTTTCAATTTTTGCTCAACCCCTATATAGCGAACTTTGCCAATTTTAAAGATATCGAGATGGGACAAACGGCATTCGAAAGAGAATCGTTTGTACCCGTTTGTACCTCTTTTACTTTCGGTTGTACCTCAAAGGGTTCGGAGATACAACGCTTTTCAATTTTTGCTCAACCCCTATATAGCGAACTTTGCCAATTTTAAAGATATCGAGATGGGACAAACGGCATTCGAAAGAGAATCGTTTGTACCCGTTTGTACCTCTCTTACTTTCGGTTGTATCTCAAAGGGTTCGGAGATACAACGCTTTTCAATTTTTGCTCAACCCCTATATAGTGAACTTTGCCAATTTTAAAGATATCGAAATGGGACCAACGGCATTCGAAAGAGAATCGTTTGTACCCGTTTGTACCTCTCTTACTTTCGGTTGTATCTCAAAGGGTTCGGAGATACAACGCTTTTCAATTTTTGCTCAACCCCTATATAGTGAACTTTGCCAATTTTAAAGATATCGAAATGGGACCAACGGCATTCGAAAGAGAATCGTTTGTACCCGTTTGTACCTCTTTTACTTTCGTTTGTACCTCAAAGGGTTCGGAAATACAGCGCTTTTCAATTTTTGCTCAACTCTTATATAGCGAACTTTGCCAATTTTAAAGATATCGAAATGGGGCCAACGGCATTCGAAAGAGAATCGTTTGTACCCGTTTGTACCTCTCTTACTTTCGGTTGTACCCCAAAGGGTTCGGAGATACAACGCTTTTCAATTTTTGCTCAACCCCTATATAGCGAACTTTGCCAATTTTAAAGATATCGAGATGGGACAAACGGCATTCGAAAGAGAATCGTTTGTACCCGTTTGTACCTCTTTTACTTTCGATTGTACCTCAAAGGGTTCGGAGATACAACGCTTTTCAATTTTTGCTCAACCCCTATGTAGCGAACTTTGCCAATTTTAAAGATATCGAGATGGGACAAACGGCATTCGAAAGAGAATCGTTTGTACCCGTTTGTACCTCTTTTACTTTCTTTTGTACCTCAAAGGATTCGGAGATACAGCGATTTCAAAATTTCAGAAATGCGCCAAGAGGGGAAGTCAGCATCATTTTTAAAGATATCGAGATGTGACCAACGGCATTCGAAAGAGAATCGTTTGTACCCGTTTGTACCTCTTTTACTTTCGGTTGTACCTCAAAGGATTCGGAGATATAGCGCTTTTTAATTTTTGCGCAACCCCTATATAGCGAACTTTGCCAATTTTAAAGATATCGAGATGGGACAAACGGCATTCGAAAGAGAATCGTTTGTACCCGTTTGTACCTCTCTTACTTTCGGTTGTACCTCAAAGGGTTCGGAGATACAACGCTTTTCAATTTTTGCGCAACCTCTTTATAGCGAACTTCGCCAATTTTAAAGATATCGAAATGGGGCCAACGGCATTCGAAAAAAGATCGTTTGTACTCGTTTGTACTCGTTTGTCAGTGCGAAACGTTTGCAGGTTATCCGACGGATAACGTTTGCAGGATATCTCAAAGAGAACAAGGGGAGACAGGTTTTATTATATTTCTTCGTCAAATTATATATTTATTACACATTACAGATAAGATCGTTGTCACAGTCACGGCGAACGTTTCGCTTGTATTATTTTGATCTTCCTGAACAAAAAGTCATCTTCTTACATTACTCGAGCGTGTACAACAG